ACAGTAACCAAATTTGTAGTCTAGTTGATGGAAGGAAGTAAATGGTTGTTATTTTCTTTTTATACAGTAATCACCAAAGCCCAGATTGTAGTACAAGATTATTTTACCAAAAAGCTGCTGTAACTGCAACTACTCTAGTATTTTGTTGCCTATTAGGGTGCTGATGATACACAATTTAATGTAATTCTGCAGTGAAATTTTTGGATACGGCTTAGTAGCTGCAATATCATGTGAAGCTGACATTGTAAACTTGCTGTGATGCACCATTTTCCCATACTACTTCATTGATTCTATTTTCAAAACATACATCCTGAGGAGGGTTTTGACTGTTATGTTGGTGGAGCTCATTGTGCACTGCAGCTTTTCTTTTCAGCTTTATAGCGTTCAGCTATCCATAGTATTGAACACCATCCCTAAAATAGGTTCACCACCATGGAACACCATGTATAGGTCCTATAAAATGAAAAGGAAAACTTCAGTGGATGAAGAGCCCCACTGATAAAGATGTCACCAGATTGCCCTGCACAAATTTGTGTACATTGAGAGAGGAAAATGTCCTGCAACTCCTAACAGACCTCCAGAAAGTCACGATGGTTAGGACAAACTGAGTATTCTAGCATTCTGTCAAAATGTGCATAGGCTTGCAGACTTAAGAGTATTGTAAGTTCTTTCCCTATTTGTAAACTAATGATTATTCATTATTTCACAGAAAAATATAAATCTGCACTAACTCTGTATATTTTTCTATGGTGGGTGATGACAATGGCACACACACATTCAGCTCTCACATCCTCTTCTGTAACATCGTCGACAGCTAACCAGTGACACCGTTTTGTGTTTCCCTGGCACTATTAACAGTGGTACAGGCTTGGTGAAATGTGCAGTATTGTATGATAAGCTCATGGGTACATTGTTGTATCCTTACAGAAGCAGAGGATGAAACTTGATCCGCAGCTGTTATTCCCATGATCTGAGCTGAGCCCTGTGCCATCCCCATTTCGTTGGCATGCCCATGGACACGCAGGCAGCATAATGGGTTGCCAAGGGGAATGGGAAGTCTGAATACCTCCCATATGCCCAAGTAACTTGAACTCTAGAGAGCAGGTTCCCATATTTCCAGGTGGTGGAAATTTAGATATGAGATATGGGAAACATGCAAAGGCTCTTGGTCCTTCTAAATGAGTGTCCAGGTACATGCATAGAAGAGGGGAGAAGGCACCAGACTCTAGAGGAATCCTGTATATTGGGGCTCTGTGCCCACACTGTCTAAACAAATCCATATCTTAACTAAATCTTTAATAAAGTATAATGATAGCATTTTATTGTGTTGCTTTTCTTGTAAGAGAAATTAATTAGGGATTTTGAATTTCACCAGTAATGTAATGTCTTTGATCAAAGTAAGTACAGTTACAGCTGTACACCTGCTCTAGAAAGATGAATTCCATACTTCTGCGGCATCATCTCTCTTATTTAATGTTCATTCCTTAAGGAAATTGGCTAAAAAGCGGAAAGAGACATTGAGCAGCACACGGCAGGAAATGACAGTGATGGTGAACTCAATGGATAAAAGCTACACTGAACAAGGCACCAACTGTGATGAAGCTTTCTCTTTCATGGACACGCACAATCTAAATGGGAGATGTAAGTTTAAAATGCACAAGGGATGCATGATTCACTTGAAGTTCAGTAGGGCGCCTAGGCAAGGAAGGGCAAACGGTTCTAGAAATACGTCTTACTCGGTGAATTCCATGGGCAGGTTATTGACTCCCCCGGGGGCTGCGGAATCTCTCAAATGGTGCAACACATCACAGCATGTCTTCTAGTGAGGAAAACAGAGACCTTTAATAAAGATAATTTTGCATTTCTGCATTTCATTTCCTTTCACATGAAAAAAAATCACAGGCATCTATGCAGCAGCTGTTGGATTCCATTTCCTCGCTTATTTTACACTTCTAAAATCTTTATTGCTTTCATGCTTCCTGCCTGCCCCCATATTCATTTGGGCCATTTCTTTTTCTAAAAAAAAATCACCATGTGTTGGGGTAGCAGCCATTTAGTCAGCTGTAAACATCAATTAATGTTCTAACTGGCGTAGTTCAGAGCCCCTAACATAAGAAGATTCGTGAGATGAGTGATAGTTTTTGACTCATAGCCAGAGTGATTTCTTTGTGACAAAAGGGTAAAAATAATTCAAGAAGACATGCCTTGTATTACGATTCGACCCACTAGAATGGTGCCTCCTTCCTCTTCAGGATGGCTAGGGCAGTGAATAGAGGAAGCCTGCCTAGTACTATATCAAGCAATTTGTCCATCTAGCCTCATATCTATCGTCTACTGTAGCTAATGGCAACCTTCCAAGGTTTCAGGCAGAAGCCTTCTTTAGGGATCCATTTTGAGACTCTTTTTAACTGGTGAGACCAACAATTGAGCCTGGACCTCCCACATACCAAGCGTATTTCACCATAGAAAGTGCGTTGGTGTGGTCTACCCCAAGGTTGCACAAAGGATGAGGCTTCAAAGAAAAATATCTGTATAAAAATGCTGTTGATCTGCTGTAGAAGCATTTGTAATAATACTGTGTCAAATATTTAATGGGAAAGTAAGGATGAAATGAAATGAAAATTCTGCCAAAGGAGGCTGGGAAAGTGAGACTTTTTAATGAGTTCCTCCTTGGGGAGGAGGACAAGATTTCCAGTTACCTTTTTAAATGTGGCAGTGGCTCACATCTATTATTATTTTTTTATCTTTAGAAATGCCCTCCCCACTGCTCACGCACTCGCTTTAGCAGCCTGTGACTCTGTGAAAAGGCTTCTGCTGCTCTTCCTGAACTGTTGTGCGATTGCATGCCGTTTCCCTGTCTCATCGGCGTTCAGGCTCTCCTGTCAGGCTCACAGAGCTCTGTGCCGCTGCAAGCAAGAGGAGAACTTTCTGAAGTTCTTAGAGCCCCATTTGTTCCTGCTTTGCTGAGAGACCACTGCGGTCTGCAAGCACTTCCTGTATGGTCGTGTTGCCTCATGGAAATTCAGGAAGAGCTGTAGGATTGTAGAAGCCACTTCATAAAGCATCCTCAGCTGCTAAAAATGCAGTGGGCCATTTAAAATTGTGAGTGTGCACTCTTACACTTAGAAAGGTATATGGACCCCCTGTTCCACTCCCCAAGGAGACAGTTATTAAAAACTCTCCCACTGCTAAGAGAGAGGCAGAAAAAAACAACTCTTTTGCAGGGAGACAAAAATATCAAGAAAATAGGGGGCAGATAAATTTGCAATAGGGGCACAGCATTAATTGGTAATATTTTAAATGCACCACAGCCAAAATCCAATCAGGCGCTGGTTGCATGGCATACATTGGGCTCCAATTATATGTGTTCAGTTGCCCAGCTTCACCCTAAACTCAGAATGAAGGCCCAGTGAGTTCACTGGCGCTTACTCCCAAGTAAGTGGGCATAGGGTTGCAGTCTAAATTAAAAGCACTGTTGGGTTAAGGGCTTTTCCAGCACTGCCTTTAGCAGTTTGGCCACCCTTGCAGCATATCTTCGTCTTGCACTGCTTGGTATTCTCAGAAAGCCTATGTCATTTGGGAGAGGTCCATGTCACAACAGTTCCGTACTTCAGGACACCAAAACAATTCTGATGTGGGAAGACGCTGTGATGCAGACTCCTCCAACATGGCTTCCAGAGTAACTGAGGAAGCAAGACAAAATCCTAAAGGGTACCTAAGAACACACAAGGCAACGAAGGGAATGCTAGGTGTATTTAAAAATAAACACTTGATGCTGAAGAATATTCCTAGAAAGCCCACATACTCCATTCGCTCATTTTTTGCAAAAGCCTTTCTCCACAATCAGATTTCACTTGTCAGATCAATCTGTAAATTTAGCTATGCAGGTGTGCTGTATTTTCCTAGTGCTTTTCTTTTTCTGAACTGTGATATTTTTTTTCCAGCTGTATCATCACCATCTTCATTCACAATGAAAACTAACACACTGAGTACAACTGTTCCTAATTCTTACTATCCAGGTAACAAATTTTGCCCTTTTATTTCCGTAATCACCTCTTACCCTAGCCAGGCACAGCTCACACTCATGTGGAAGGACCAGAAGAGAGCTCATTGGATCCCTCTTCCCTCTCTCTAATGCCAGTCCTGGCCACTGCACAAAGCAGGACACTCATGCACACCTCTCACACACTCATCCAGCAGTCCCTTTGCTAGAGGACTGGAGTCCATAAGTTATTGGAATGCACAGTGAGGAAGCACCTGCTCAAGAATGGACCACACCCAGTTTTTAAATGTGTGTTGGTGTGTGTGCTTGTGATCGCTCTGTTAGTTTTTTGAAAGACATACTAAAAGAGATGAGTACCTTTTGCATGTTATAACAACTTTCTTACTTGTGACTTTCTGGCAGACGATTTGGGCACTATTACCAGTCATTTACTTTTCTTTCTCTTTTTACCTTTACTGCATTGACCTGCTTATGATGTATGACAGATCCATTTGTGCCAACCGCAATTTTAGGTGAGAACATTTCCCTTTATCAACCACGGTTACAGAAACAATTTTTTAAAGTCTGAACTTGAGCTACAAAATATGGTTTTCAAACAAGTGTGATACGCTGCTGGAGATAGTACAAGCGGCTGTGCTGCATTTTAATTCAAATACCAGAATTAAAATGGATTCTTATTGTCACCAGAAAATTCAGTAAAAATGAACATAATTCATGGCTTTTGGATGTTATATTTAAAGTTAAATTCAGCAGAGAGTGTAAATATTGTGACAATCAAAGGATTGTCATTTTTTTAGCATTGACTGTGCGAATAAAATGCCATTAAATATAATCTAAAATCAGGTCATCTGTGGCTGCTGCTTTAAGTATAGTAAGAGTTTCCATTTCGGTTTTTATTGGCATGTCATGAAGAGACTTGCAGTGGGATTGTGATTTGCGTCAAAATAACAGCAAATTAAAGTAACATTTGTTCTGTGCCACATCCCACAGAGGTTGAACTAAGATACTACAGTCCCAGGAGGAAAAGCGTTTTATACCTTTCTGTAAGGAAGCTAAAAACAATGCCAGCTGCCCAGTATAAAAAGAGTGAAGGGAAATGGGTTTACCATGCTGACAACCAAATATAGCCTGTCATATGATTGCATTTGGAATTTATAACAACAAAGCTATGCTTTTCATTACTACCACTATACTAACCTTAACTTGACATGTACTTAAACTTAAAAAAAAGAAAAACCCTATAATTATGCACTGTGGCAAGCATTCCATTCTAGTTGCTGCCTCCACACTGTCTTTTCAGGGGTTTTAACGCTTCCTTTCCCCCTGTTCTTTCTCTCTGTCCTTACTAGTGCAAATATTGCCATAAAATTGTGTTTTGCAATTTTGGAACTAATTAAATCAGACTGTAATGTGCAAGTATAGAAACCACATTTATAGCCCCAACAGGACTTGAGTGACAGAACTTCTATGCATTTGAAAATATTTATTAGATTGGGAACCTGCTACATTATAACATAAACTTGTTTTGAAACTACTGAATGATTTGCATTAGAAGAAGAGTTGCCATCCAAAAACATATCGGGTGCCCTGGGACTGTTGGAACTGTTGTTACCAACTTTTCTAATTTATGGCCTTGGTCTCATGGTTTGAAGAAGTAATTTGTGTTTTCTCCCACCACCCCCAAAATTCAAGAAAGTCATTATGATGGAATAATAATTGGTACACGTGTTTCATTTCCAAAGAAAATAATTTCTTGCAAATAGAGAAAATGACACTGAAGACTCCATAATACTGTAATAGCCTTCATGTAAATGGAATTTGCAGTGATTTTTAACAGCCTGAAAGTATCACATATGCCTTTACTGTAGAAATCTGAAGATATCATGACTTTTTCAATGAACAAGGGGAAAACCACTGCTATTACATTATCATATTTTGTAACCGGTTTCTAGTATGTTTTATTGTTGAATACATTACAATAATTACAATAATGTCCTGTACAATGAAGGTGTTGAAAACTAGTTGCCCTTAAGAGGGAATGAGAACAATCCATTTGGTTTATCAAGATGTATATGGAAAGCTGTTTATTTGTTGCATTGAAACAAGAAGAAGGTAGTTCTGTCTTCATTTAACCTTCACCATTTTGTGCACTGCCTTCTATCTTATCCTCCTCTTCAGTTGTAGACAAATGCGTTTTAATTGGCACTCCATTTACAGGAAGGGTATCCTTGGGTTTCTTCAGACTTTTTATTCTTTTATCACAAGTGATCCATGACCTAAGTCATGTTCGACTGTAAGTGTCAATTTCTAGTTTAAGACATACTTGAATGCCTCAAAATTCTAGCTAAGATGAATAACAACTAATTGCGGAAGCCGCTCTTTGTTAGAGCGTTGTCTGTAATCTATTGATTGCTGGCATATGGGACTCACATTGTGTCTTTTCAGCTGTAATACCAAACCAAAGCATGTTAGGAGAACCGGCAGGCGTAAGCCTTGGTCTGAGGTACCCCTTCCTCCCCCATTTGCATGTGGCTATTAGTCACTTCCAATCTATGTTTGTATTCACAGATCACCATGGTTGGTGTTTTATTCAGAAGAGCAAAATATGGTTTAGACTTGCTTGCAGCTAAGGTCACAAAGATCAAACTCTGGTTCTTCAGTGTGATCCATGGAAAGTCGAGTAAAACATTGTCCTAGAAGGCTTTAGCAAATAATGGGGCACTGAGGAGAGGAAGAGCTTGGCTACCTTCCCACTCAGTTCTGTCCTGACTGCCTCTGCAGCAGAAAATAACTTTCTTCATGAGTTTTCTCACATTCCACTCTCACATCACGCCTCTTTTCTTCAGTTGCCTTTTTGTTTTCCTTCTTGCCCATGTATAGAAGGAAGAGAGTAAGAGACCCCAAAATTAGGGAAACTACAGCTTATTTTTAAATTTTTTATGCTTCTGTGACAGAATGGTAACTTTTTTAAAGTGCTGCATTTGTTAGCCAAATATTTCTATTTCAGATGACTATAGAAGTTGAATAAATGATCCAGCTGCAAACGTTAGTGCAGACCCCATGTACCTGTCTGGGGCACCCTGCCACAGTTTCCCCAAGGCACTGCCAGGCTCTTCACCTGACCATAGCCATACTGGGGTTCTGCAGAACAGGCCACTGTAAAACCATGCTTCACTTGATTCCAGAATATGTCCTTTGTATGATGCCTCCAAGAAGGAGTAGCTTGCACCTATATAAAACTGGGACTGAAGCTGCCAAAGGACTGTGAGTAATTGCTTTTGCCCTCTCTCACAGAGGAGATGGAAATGAAAAAGAGGTACTCTGACAGCGTGGTCTCTACTGTGCTGGTTACTTCTGCTTCCTCCACCATCAGCCATCCCATTTCTTCTGACAACATTGGCGCAGGGGCCAAGTCCAGTAGATCTTACTTGTTAATCACTGTGGAGAGTCTAAGCTGATTCTAACTGCTATTGATTTGCCATCTTAGTTTGCAAGCAAGCACAAGCCATTGTTTTCTGGCAGACAAGAATGAGAGGATACAAATTGTAGTGCAGAAGGGGAAGGAGAAGAATCTGAGTTCGTACATTGTCATTTTGTGGCTGTTTCTACATTGTGATAACATGAAGCCACAGTGGGACAGTGAATCTGAAAAGCCTCAATGTGAGCCCAAGTGTACACGTGTGCAGGGCTGCGGATTGTTATAAGCATGGTTTCAAGGCCGATTCACACAGTCATTTCAAGACATGGTAGCTGTGGGTGAAGCTAGCTGGGATTCATCTCAGTGCAGTACGTTTAGTCACGTACCAAGCCCCCACCATGTCTTGAACCTGGCTTTTGTAAGTGTGCCTTAGTGATACTATACACAACTGCCTTGACACAGGCTGAAGTCAGGTCAGGCTTTTCCCACTGAAATGGATGTACAAAAATGCACCGTAAGGCAGAATTCTTTGAGGTCTGAGCAAAACTCAGTAGGTGAGCTGCGCATAATAGGTCTTGTCACTAAGACTGAGCCCTCCACATAACCACTATCTTCATACCAAAATTTTACGCACATCATGGGAGAGAGTTTGTCAAAAAAGAAAAGAAGAAGAGCCTCTATTGGTGCTAGACTTTTAACACTAAAATTATGTAATCTAAGTTACAGTGTTTACCTGGAATGCTTACACATCTCGTGCTTCACTTGTTTTTTGCAAAAACAGTTAAGAGATCATATAGTTCGGTCCATATCTAAACAAATGTAAATTTTTAATACAATCAACTGGAAAGCTAACTTGTTCTTGTTCGTTACATTATGGACATACAGTTTAGTAAATGCCCTTTGCCTGCTGTGGGCACAGTCCAGCCAAAGCAATGGATGTTTGAGTCCATTTAAGTCACAGGTTCTTAAATTACCTATTTTATTGTTTTATCGGTTCCATTTCTTTTTATATGATAGTCTTTGTACATATACATATGTATATGTATGTATTACTAGAAAAGAGTGACAGCATTTCCTTATAATAACTGGCATAATAAATGGAAAAGAAATATAATGTTAATGTCCGCATACCATCAACAATGTTGTACCATGGGATTTAGGGCAATAACTTGAGCTAAAGTTCTTTCAGCCAATTTCTATCATGTGGGACCACTTCATTCTGAAATTCCACATTGCAAAAGCAACTGGATTGTGAGATTTCTATGGCTTTCAAATTTTAAGGGCCCTTAGAGCTATTTATAAACCTGGATGGGTTGTTCAAATACTTTAAAAATAACTTTAGACCAGAAGACATCCAGCATTGTTGCATATTTTGGCAACCCAGTTTTGGATGGCATCTGCGCAAACTCTGTGCTGAAGAAACACAATACCTTGGAAATGTGGCTGCAGATGGAATAATAAAGTTAATTTCAAAAATCTGTCTAAAATGATTCCTGTATGAAAAATAATATTCATAGTTTTAAGATGCAGAGTGCTATCTACATCCAGCAGAAATAAATGCCAGTGCAGTCTGGCTCCTTGGGTTGCAAAAGCCGATGAACATAAATTTGCAACATTTAGGCAAAAGTTGCACTGACCTGGTTTTGCAGCACCATACTGACACCTAACCTTTGTCTGATTATAATATAATAACTTAAAGCAAAAGGCATGACTTCTGTGCATAATTTTTTTTCAAATACCATAAATCAACTTCCAACTCTTTATTTTATTTCTTTATTTATTTTGTCTTTTTGTGTCTTAGCCACCTTGTAGTATTCAGGTGCCATTTCAACAACAACATACTGTAACAACTCTTGTATATCGCCTTCCATGCCATGCATCCCAAGGTGCTTTGCATTACAGTTTTGCTGAAAAATAGATAACAGGAACTGTTACTTGTACTTGTATCGGAATAGTAAGGCAGTCCCAGCCAGGATGAAAGAAAATGATTACATTCATATACATAAAGCATTAAATATAGTACTTTTTAGGATTCAGATTTTCACTAGCTCTTCAGGATGACACTAGATCTCCTTAAAGTTCCTTACTATAAAACACAAATAACTCCATTGGTCCAAAATAAAGGTAACCTCAGTAACTTTGGTGTTATTGCCCTTATACTAATGGTCAGTTTTTTAGAATCTGTACCAGATATACTTTTCCTTAATCACTGTGCCAACACAAGTTGTGGTATACAAGGTCCGAACCAGGAAAGAATTGTCAGGATTACATCTTTTGCAATAGGCTGCAGTGTTGTGGGTGAGGCACTAGACTATATTCATAAAGACAAAGGCTTGAATCCTACATTGTTCTTCTGTTCATATCAGGAAAGGAGGAAGTTCAGTAGGCCCTTGATGTGTTTCCCACGTTATTCCTAAAGGTCCTCCAAAACCTATATTCTGATTTTTGGAGGGTGCAGGAAGCTACAGTGGGCAAGGGGTGATGAAGGAACTCATTGCATGAAAGTGAAGTCTGCCCTGTTCATGGAAAGAAAGTTAAGATCTATGGAATATAATTAGTGACATTAACCCACATTAGACAAAAAATAGGAGGATGGTCCTTGATGTTCTTTCAGTGGTCCTTTCCTATACAATTTTATACAGTAATATTTAATTATATTAACATTTTTATGTATCCCAGTCTTAGTCGAACTCTGTTGAGTGTACAGGTATCTGCATAGTCAGGAGCTTTCAGGAGACAGGCAGTCCTTTGCACATAGGACAGGAGTTTGATGTGTGTCACTAGCAAAAGCTACAAGTCCTAAACTGAAACAGCAAGGCCAGTGACAAATAAGTGACATTAAATGTAACCGTACCTCCTTCGTTGGACCGCTGCTTTAGATTGACAAATACATGCCTCCTCCGTGCCACCATGACACACGCTTCTGTACAAGATGCAGCAGTCATAAATCAGGGAATCACAACAGAAGAAAATCTACACCGTATTGAAAGTTCTACATATGTATCAGAATTTACACACACACACACACACACACACCAGTTTTTGATAAGATAATTCAGAGTCATTAAAGTGAAACTAAAAGCAAAATACATCTTACATTCACAATATAAAAGGCTTCAACTTCTGGCGGTTACTAAATCTGAACCAGAAGGAAAATTTGGGCATGCTTGCCTTGACATATTACTGAGTCAAGAAGAGATAGTACAGGCATTTCTAGTTATCCCATCCAGTTACTCTCCTTGCTTCCCAATTGCTAGACAAGATTAGCTACGTAAGATAGCAAGAGATCAAACCTGTCCAGGTTGCCTAACTTCTTTTCCTGCAGTGAGTGCAAAGCTGGGGTCAGGTTCTCATAGCCCCATGAAAACTTTCTTTGCCATTAAATTAATATGCATTATGAAATATAAACTCATCAGTTCAGTGCCATGTCACAATCTTTGCAGACATAGCAGGATTCTAGTGATGTAACTCTCACTACAAACATATAATCTGTACAAATATTTAGAAATGAGAATTGGGATAAGTATATGTTAGGAAAACCCTATAATCCTGCAATGAATCATAGGACATTCTTAAATTCTAGCAGAAAGGCTTCATATGACTGTGTCTCCGCTTTGCCCAGTGTATTTATAAGAACAGTTTATGCTTAGAAATTGCAGGCATTTGTTCATATTGCAGTGAGAATCACTCTAAAACTTGGGGTGCAAATTCACCCTTAATGCTGCAGTCAGCAAACCTTATGATATGATGAGCTGTCATTTAATCTTGTTTGGTCCCATGTACTTTAGTAGGACTATGTCAGCTGAAATATGCCTGCTTAAGGGTTTATGAGCAACCCTGCTGTTTTGTAAGCTCATAGGCTTGTTTATTTCAATTTAAATTTAACAGTTTTGTAGCTGATGCAAACCTATTTTGAGGTTTAATTTTTATAGTAGAGGCAAAATATAATGATATATGGGTTTTAGTTTTCAGTCCTTTCCCCCTTCTTCTTGTCACATACCAAGTTAAAAGTGCCATTCCAAATAGATAAAAGAAAAAAGGCAACTCTATTGGCTAGTCCCTTTATAATATTTGCAGTTTCTCTGCTAGGAAACCAAAGTGAAGACACTTCAGTTACACAGATTAGTATACCTGTAATTATTACTATAGTACTGTTGCTTATGGCCTGTTTCCTTTTTCTTCTCCTCCTCTTTTTCTCCTGATATGTATCTTCTTAAAAGTGCCAATAAATGGTAAGTTGCCCATTTGCCCCATTGAAGAGGTGTGGAGGGGGTGGGAAATGGTTTGCTTCGTAAAAGTTTGGACCAACTCAGCGGGATTATGTTGTGTGTTGGCTTGCATGTCAGTTGACATAGAACATTTCATGCATTATGTGATGCCCCATGTTAAATTTGTTTATTTAATACTGCAGCATGCTAATTTCACTCAAACATTAACACAAATCAAGTTATTCCACACATTTATCCTCCTGTATTTTCTTTCCTAGTGTCATGTCCAATCTGCATTTCCATTTTTCTCCTGGCTTAATAAACCATATCATTTTAAGCATTTTTAAAATATTTTGCTTTCAGTAACATGTGTCCTGAATTGCCATGAAAGAGATAATAAAAAGTTTACTAATCCAGGAAAAACAAGTCCTTTTTTACTTGTCTAGGACTTGATGAAGTTTCAGCCTGAAACTTCCGTGCCATTTAGAACTAAATATCTAAAGAATTTAAATCACCTAATTCGTTAGTAGATTTAAACAAAGAAAGCTATACAGTACCAACTGTACAATGGGTTGTATCCAATGTTAGTCTCACTTAAGTTCCATTCATTTCAATGGGTCTACACTAAGCAGAATGAACATTTGATACCACCCAGTGTTTTTCATTGTAAACCAATAGCGGTTTCCTCTTTCTAATCCATCTTGCTATCTCCCTGAACAAAGTACTTAATGAACTTCATTTTTGTTATGGTTTAGCCCATCAAGGTAGAGCTTATAAAAGATGCTGGTGGTGTCAAAAACCATCCTTGCAAAAGCAATGTATCATAAGCCTTTGTGGGACAACTAGAAAAAGTCAAGACTATTATTCAGTGTTCTTTTCCTAGATGAAACTCACACAATGGGCAGTGATACAAGCAGCCTGGTTCAGTCACACACCTACAAGAAGCGGGACGCTGTGGATGTGCCTTACCAGACTGGGCAGCTTCATCCAGCCATCCGTGTTGCTGATCTGCTACAGCATATTACACAGATGAAATGTGCAGAAGGCTATGGATTCAAGGAGGAGTATGAGGTGAGTAAGCTTTGAGCTACACTTACTGCTCAGTTGGGTTCTTCCTTCTGAACTGGGGGGTGAGATGGAGGGAGGAGCTTCCAAAGCCATGATTAAGATCAGAAAGCTCATGTCCTCCTTTGTGATGAACTTTCAGAACATAGGAAGAATCCTGTTGGTTCTTTCTAGATTAGTTTTCTGTTCCCACAGCGGACAACCAGTTGTAGCAAAGTGAAGCTCACGGTCAGGACCTGAGCCCAATAGCATTCTCCCATTCACTTTCCCCAGCAACTGGATTGGAAGAAATACTGCTTCTAATACTGGAAATAATATATAATCATTACTATAAACAAATAGTCATTGGTACATCTTGCTTCCATACAGTAGACTAATCATTTCTCTAATGCCCCAAAGTATTGCTTTTCATCATTTGACTATTTCTCTGTGAGGTAGTCATTCAGCTAACAACCTCATGCAACCCATTCAGTTGATCTATATATAAAACTATTGTGTGGTTATGGTCAGTGGATAAAGATACAAAAAGAGAGAATGCCTTTGCAATGATTTTCTTAGACCAAGGAGAAATTCCAGAGAGGAATTCATCAGCATCCCAAAGTATCGTGAGCTTTTGGGAACAACCCCACTGAATGTTCACAAAACTTCTAGATGCTCACAAAAGCATCTTTCTAACACCTCTTCCAGGCCCAGAAACATATCTTTGGGTGGGGAACATGGTTGCAGAAGTAGGGCTTCCAGAACCAGAGTCTTCTTTACTTTGATGAAAATCACATACAGAATTATAGGGATTCCCAGGGATTCCAGGAGCTGTTTTCTCAGGTGAGAAACCTGAGGCCTGAGACTGCCTATCCTGTTTCTTTGCTCCAAGGTAAGCTTCCTTTCAGGTGAAGTGGGGCAGGACGGCAATTCACTTTTATTCTGCTTGCAGGCATCCTAGCAGGTGGGCTTCCTTATGCAAATATGCCTGGTCAAAGTATTCCTAGCTCAGGAAATAACATTTGCTAAGCTTAGGTATTTGTCAGGCTAGGGGCTTCTCTACACAAGACATGTATCTTGTGCCTCTGATTCCTCACTCATGGTAGTCTGTGGGTGTTTTACATGACTTCAGCATCCTCTGGGGCCTCTCCCATTTTTGCAGCCATTTATGTAGGTTGTGGAAAGGTTTCTTTAGGTTGTGGAAAGTCTGACATTCTCTGGAAATGGTGGGATGAACCAGAATGAAACACTTACGTAATTTTGCTGTACCTACACAACTTTGTGGATGTGTAATGCAATGTATACAAAGGCAAAGGAAAAGCTGGGGTGGTGGGGGGGAAACACCTGTAAAGGAGCTGAACATAATCCTGCAAAGAAATTTAATGTGGCACATTAAAAGACTCATGTATTAAAACCCTAGGAGGGAGATGCCAGAATAGTAACTGTGCTCCTGTTTTGACATCCTTTCATCCACAACTACTCAGGAAAGGGGGAAGGCTTGCGAGCAGGAAGATATGCAGAGAAAACATTGCACTTCAGTGCGTTCCTTGTTACACAAGGCTTTTTGCCAGTTTGTCTCCATGTGGACAGCACATACATTTTCCTGCAGAAAAAGCAACAATATTTTCTCAACAGTCTGTGCAAGCAGAAAACATAGAGCCATTTATAGGGCCTAGTAGGCACTCTTGTTTTACATGCATTTGCTATGATAAGACACAGCCAAATCATACCTCCAACCTGCACGCTCCTATTTCATGTTCTTCACAGCTGGGTCTATTGATTGCAGTCATCACTACAGGTTCTTTTCTATTGTATAGACTGCAAATAATAACAAAAACAAAAAGCAGTGTGAAACATTGGACAGAAACAGGAAAGGCTGGCAAGCAATACTAGTACATATACAGATGACTAAAGAAAATGTGTTTTCCAGCATTTGGAACTGCACATACTGTTCATTTCCTTGCTTCTCCATCAACACTGATGAAGAATAATAACAAAAAAAGCAAAATGGACAAGCGGTAATTTGTCCATAGCTGAGATAAAATTTGTATTTTTGCTTGTTTATCTTAGCAAATGTTATGCTATCCCCCAAACCTGGAGGATTATAGGCATCCATTGGAATGCTTGGAGGATTGCCTCAGTGCTCCTCTTGTCTCCCTGGCTGATTTTGGCCATCTAAATATCTAACACCAGCTGATGAGCAAAGGAGCCAGAGGTCTCACCAGGATTTCATAGGGTAGCAGTGCCTCACTCCCCACCCCCTTCCCTGCACCTGCAGGCACCAGCTCCGAGGTCAGTCTTCTCACTTCGAAAAGAAAAACACTGCTCTGTGCGCAGAACAAAGGCACTCCGCATTTGCAATCCCAACTCCAACCTTGAAGTGCTTCTCCCAGGTCAGAGCTGGGACTCCAGATTATCCTATAGCTATATAGTTAGCATCTAGCAACCATAGGATTATGCCCTCAGGCTGCCTTTCTGTTTAAATAATCCCAAGCGAAATAATGATGGCAACAACAATATGAAACATTCAATATGTTAATTCCTTTTATTTAGCCTTGCTAGGTCCCTGTTTATTTCCATTGGAGGTTTTAAGTGATTGAGAAGTATTTCAACTGTAATATTATGTTCTTTGTATGCTCATGAGCAAATCATGAGAAATGAAGCCAAATGAAAAGATTAAAACAGTCTGCAAATAATTACCTGTAGTAAGTCTTTCTGAATGCATTTGGCATTTCCTACATATATGTGATGCCAGGATGATATTCTCTGTGATTTTGCTGATCTTCAGAAATAGCAAATATGTATTTCTGTATTCACTATGAAACACCACAGATACAGTTCGTAAAAGGCCTTAAAAAGAAAAATGATAGCTTATATATAAAGCACCAATACACAAAAACAAAATGGTGGTGCCTGGCTGAGCATATCAAGTAATTTTTCACTACTATCAGGTGACATCAAGGGCATTTGGAGCAGCTAACCTCAGATCTTCCAGCGCACAGGTTGGAAGTACACTAGCACATACTGGCCTCAGCGTGAGATTGCCTTCTCTCCTGATTCACAGAGGACTGTATTAATACCAAAGCCCAATTTTCTCAGGTTTGTCTTAGATCTACCAACACCACTGGGTGCAATACCAGCCAAGCAATTAACTTTATCAATATGGGTTGGCTTCAGGCATCCCACAATTCTTCATCTTCCACTGAGTGCTTTTGCATGATGCTGCACTGGCTCATTCACCTACGAAAGGATGTAAGGCCAAGACTGTGGTTCTTTCTGTTTGTGGTTGAGTGCCCCAGCTGGTTCTTGTTAACTTTCAGAGGATATTATCTCTTGCAGTAACCGTTTGCCTAATGTTTTCTCAGTGTTTCTTATATGTCAGCATGTGCTCAGAAATGACATCCAGGTATTTAAGAGTGTAACAGTGATCTAACTAGACTGCCAGAAAACCTGTAGTTTCCAAGATGCCTGCTTAGTCCATAAATGAAAAGAGCAAATTTAAGTCTTGGCAGGATTGGGCTTGAGTCACTTTGTATTATAGCATATACCAAGCTTGTCCAGTACACTATTTAAAATACATTCTGTCATCTCGAAGCTTTCTGGGAGAGCAAAGAGTACAAGGTCATTGGCATACTTAAACTTTGGGGAAGAGGTTGATCATTATTACAGATATTGAACAAGATGGGAGGCTAATATGCTACCCTAGGGTAAACCATTCTTTTTAGTCCTCCTTTGGCTGCATTGTCCTTGAAAGTTAGCAAAAAAAAAGAGAGAGAGATTTTCTAGAAAAGTTGCTATTAATCCTTGGTGAAACTGCAGTTTTTTCCAATAATAGTTGGTGAATAGTGTCATATATGGGAACAGGTCAATAAAGGCTTCCATGGTGATTTGTATATTTTCAAAGTCATCCCTGACATTTTGCATTAGGGGCAGGATTTGTGCTGTACAGTTCTTTCTTAGTTGAAAACCAACTTTTGGGAATAAGGAGTGGTGTAATAGCTTCTATTAATTGATTAAGAATCATTCCATGCAGAATATATATATATAAGGGTTAGTGAAATCAGCCTGCAATTTTTTGGGTCTGTGCATTCTTTACTGGGTTTCAAAGTAGCATTCATGTGTGACTTTCTCCAAACTTTTGAAATCCTTAGAGAAACAAGGCACTTCTTTGCAAGATTAAGGATTGCTTCTGTGTTGCTGCATGAAAATGTTTTATCTGTTCTACCTCAACATCATTCAGATTTGCTGCCTTGCCTTTTTACAGCTTTGAATAGGTTCTTTAAATTTACTTACGTTGAATGGTCTTGCAAATAAGTAGCTTTCAACTGCTGATATGTTGTTCTGCTTCCTATGGGTATGTTCAGGTTTACTGTTGATAAAAAGTTGATGCACTATATGATTTGCTGTAATATTTATATGAATGGGGCCTTTGGTTGCATTATTATGCTTTACAAATATCTACTCCTTTTGGCAGCTTCTTGACATATTTATTCCTTCCAAGAGTTTTATCAGTTCCCTCTTTTAGTTTCTGAGATCAGAGATTAGCCACTGTCTAGCCAAAATACTTTCATTGCAGATTTCATTCAAATAATGTAAAAGAATGATTTGTTAAAGTGCTATTTCTGATGTTAGACCTTGGATGCAACTAGCTCTGTATGCTGGAGGTATAGACAGGTGGGATGATATTCAGATGCCTCAACAAACTAATTGAAGACCTCTGTGACCAGGCAAAATTTTGGTATGACTCCACCCAGTATTGTACTAAACCAATAGCCTTTTTTGAAATAGTCTCTTCTACAAAATTGAATAGTTAATGGTCAGACTGCTACCATAAGTTGATATATTATGGGCCACTGTTGAGTATTGGAAATTGGGGCACAAAATATCTTCATGCACTGCTGAGTTATAGGCTCACTAACAAATGTTTAATCTGTGTTGTAACCACATTGCCATCTCCCACTGTTGAGAAATGGAGGCGGTTATCATGGATAAAGGCTAGTTGCAAGATTTCCACCAGTTTAACACCA